TATCTTCCCTCCATCAATGGGCATTAATTCACTGATATGCAGGCTCGGAAGAGCCAGATTTTCCTTCAGCTTCATCACAAGAGAGTAAACACTCCCAACAAAGAATCAAAGACAATTTTACTGCTGTCCACCACAGAAAGGAAAGAAACCTTGTAGAAGACCCTTATGACCCCAAACAGCTACCAGGCGTGACCCTTTGTTACCACAAAGCGGTCCTCACCTGGAGCCTGGCCAGGGCCACACCCCACCTTATCTGTCCTCGGCCAACCTCATCGGAACCTTCTTTGACCAACCCAGGAAGACAGAAAAAGCAGGTCCTCTAGCCAAAGCAGACAGGAGACAAGTCAACACTGGAGGCCAAGACAAAAGGTCCTCAAAGAAGAGTCATGCACTTTCTTATTTCCTGAAGACATTTATTACCGTCCAAACATATTTTCAACAAGGAAAAGCAAGATCCCTAATCTCCCCAGGATCCACACTTGCAAAGCCTCCCAGGGAACCCATCTTTCGTGGAACCCTCTGAAGACTCCAGAGCTCTGTTTCTTTCTTGGACAGAGGGGGGATTGAGTCTTAATCTCTGCAAGGGTGAACTAATCCACAGTCTGGCTTCCTCTGCCGACACCTGTGCCGAACTGCGAACTCCTTCTCACCACCTCCCTCAGGTCTCTGGTTCCTTTTTGCCTGAGGTGACGTTTACATGCCTGGCCTGGGCGCGGGCACTCCGGTCAGGGAGGCGCTGTGGTGACGGCCCCGGACTGCCCACGGCTTCCCAGCCAGGGCTCTCAGGGAGCTGCAACTCACCAACCAGTCTTCTGTTGCCTTGAGCTGGTTTCCAGAACGCTCCGCCCTTCTTTTGTCCCAAGGGCCTCAGGAGCCCAAATGCCCCTGCTGAACATTCCAAGTGAGGAAGCAGTATCAGAAAATCACATGGATCCCCAAAGTTGCTGGGACGGACAATGGACACGGTAAGGCACCCAAGTCACAACCTGCCTAAGTATACCAAGGCAGTCAGTGTGCCCTGGGACATGAGACTTCACAGAGGCCTCTGTCCGGAGCAGGTCACCTCAAAGACTTGACACCCTCAGGAGTTCGGACAGAATTGCATTCTAGTTCTATGCTAAGCCTTTGCTGCCCCTGCACCTCCCTCACAGTGACCCCCACCTTGATCCTCTTTATAGTAATTACCTTAAAAACAGATGATTTGGTCGGCTGGGCAAAGAATACCAGCTCTTAACAGGACCCTCTGAGTAGGCCACCTTCTCTGGGCCAGAAAGAAATGCCGCTGTTTCTATCCCGTGTGAGTTCTCTGGTGACTCATAAGGCGTGAACTCCGAGAAAAGCTCTCTCCACATTCAGAACATTTATAGGGTCTCTCTCCCGTATGGGTTCTCAGGTGACGAATGCGATTGGAGCTGTGAGAAAAACTGTCTCCACACTCATGACAGGTATAGGGTTTCTCTCCCGTGTGAATTCTCTGGTGCCTGATTAAGTTGGATCTATGAGAGAAGTTTTCCCCGCAAAGGTTACACTTATACGGCTTCTCCCCCGTGTGTGTTCTCTGATGTCTGGTGAGGTGCATGCCCTGCCGGAAGCTTTTCCCACAGGTCAAACATTCGAAGAGTTTTTTCTCTGCCTTGTGGGTTCCATGGTTGCTAAGAAAGAGGGTGCTGCCACTCACTGCTTCCCCACACTCCGAGAAGGGGTAAAGCCTCTCTTTCTCGTGAGTTCTTTCATGTATGACGAGGTGCGAACTGCGGGAGAAACTTTTCCCACACTCGGCACACTTATAAGGTCTCTCCCCCGTGTGAATCCTTTGGTGCCTAAGGAGGTTGGAACTATGAGCAAAGATCTCCCCACACTCGGGGCACTTGTAGGGCTTCTCGCCTGTGTGCGTCCTCTGGTGCCTGTGAAGGTTTGAGTTGCAAGAGAAGCTTTTTCCACATACGTTACATTGGTAGGGTTTCTCCCCCGTGTGGGTGCGCTGATGGCGAGTCAGGTGGGTATTCTGACTGAAGCTCTTTCCACATTCCAGGCACTTATGCGCCTCCTCTCCCAAGTGTGCTCTGTGTAGTGACAGAAAGTGTGGGTTCCCACCAAAGATTTCGCCACACTCCACACCCACACACAGTCTCTCTGCCGCATGTATTCTCTGGTGCCTAATTAGGTTCGAGTTGTTAGAGAAATTTTTGCCACACAAGGGACATAAGTGGAGCTTCTTCGGCTGCGATTCCTTCGGTCGCCCCTGTTCTCTGCAACTTGTGGCCCCCACTAAGGATGGCTCCATCCCTTCCTCTGGGGGAGGCTCCCAGTGCCCTTCTGCCCTGTCCCGAGGCCTTCCCTGCTCAGGACTCCAGGGCACCTCCCCTCTGGCCTGGCCAGGCAGCAGCGCCTGCGGGTGGGCGCTCTCGGGGGACAGGGACTGAGCACTTTCTTCCTGGTTCTCAAACTTCTCTTCTCCTGGCAGAGCGAGAGAAACCAAACCCCTACATTATTCCTCCACGAGACAAAAGGAAATCCCACAGATGTGCTCCTCCAGACGTCCAGACGTCTGTAGGGCGGACATCCAGAAAGGCTGGTTCTATCTCAGTTTCCCATTTTCCCCATGTAGGTAAAATACCCTAGAGAGGATAAAAGGTGGGGCCGTCGCAAAGGAACAGAGCTCAGACCAGTCCTGAACTCGCTTGTACAGGCCCCCGACTCCCTCTACAACCGAGCCTCTGGCTTCTGCCCCGTGGAAATGGGTGGGTTGGAGCAAGGCTGGGACTGGGGCGGGCCCCAGGAGTGAGTGCCCCCTTACACTGGGCACCGTGGGATGGAAATGGGCAGCGGGGCGACGGGAAGCAATGCATCTTCCTGGCAGCGGTGATGGGCTAGCCCTCCGTCCCAGTCCTTGAGGGCTTCCCTCCCAACAGTGGGAGTCTAGCCGGGCAGGCTGCTCACCTCCATTCCTTCTTACCTGGAGCTGGGCCTCTGGGACTCAGGCCTTCCTTGCAAGTCTGAACACTGGGATCCCATGGCTTTCCTCCTTGTTCCACCTGGGTACTTAGGGCCTCCCGACTGGGAACCTGAGCCTCTGTTCACAACGAAAGAAACAGATGTCTGTCACCACTCTCTCTACCAGGCAGAAGAAACAAAGATAATCTTGGCCCCTAGGCTTAGTGGACATTTCCACACAAGGCACACGGAGTCTGACAGTAGTAAGTCTGACAATACACTAAACTGTTCACAGTGGTTATCTCCAGAGAAAGAAATTGGAGGAGGGGGACTATGACTTTTTTTTTCTTGTTACGCTTTTGTAGTACTTGGGATATTTTGCAGTGAGAATGTACACTTTTGTAATTAAAACAACCAAACATGATTAGAGTGATCAGTTCTTGAGGAATTAGTTTAATATTTAAAAGAGCCCCAACTCTCACAGATAAATATAAACTAGAACTACATTCTACAAGACAACTCCAGGATAAAATATAACGTGGTGGACCATCAGAAAGAAATCTGGGGCTCTGAGATGACCGGAGGTTAAAGCCTAGGAGCGCCATTCCTGTGCGATGCTAAAACTAAAACCTCACACCAATCCCAACAAACTTGGACTTTAAACAGTTTAGTTCCAAGAACTCGTGACCCCAACTTCTCTTCCCACGAAGCACTGAGAGCTAGGCTCAGCTCAGGGCACCAAACCATGGCCTGGTGATGGACAGCCTGGAGAAGGTCCCAGTGAAGGGAACCAAACCCAGCGATGACCCTTATGCAGAGTTACTGCAAGTGAACTGATAACTGTGCCTCTTTTTACAAAGACCAGATGTGTGAAAACAAAGTGTGACTCTTTTCTACCACGTGTCTGTATGGCTACAATCGTAACGTACACAGAATCGCTGTTATTTAAGACTTCCCACAGCTTTCGGGGCGCCTGGGTGGCTCAGTCGGTTAAGCGTCCGACTTCAGCTCAGGTCATGATCTCACAGATCGTGAGTTCGAGCCCC